TTCTGAGTTGTCTTAGCAACCACTATAGTAAGACACACAAACAGACAGACAAGTTCATCTCCCTTAGCTGTTCCAAGCCCTTCTGCTCACTTCCTGGTCTCTCTCAGCTTGTGCAAACCCGCTGCCCTGGCTCACTTCCTTCTCAGTCCCCCTAAGGCCGCTCCAAACCCACCACTGCATCTCGCTTCATTCCTGGCCCCTCTCAGGCCACTCCAAACCCGTTGCGCCACCCCCACTTACTTCCCAGTGCCCCTCAAACCCACCACACCGCCTCACTTCCTTCTCACCCACCTCAGGCCACTCCAAACCCGCCGTACTGCCTCGCTTCTTTCCCAGCACCCCCTTTCCTACTTGGCAGAGGCAGAAATACAAAACAAATCTTATAATACCGATTAATAAAGCTTTTACACTCTCTAGAATAAATTTTTTAAGAAAAACTACCTCAATTCAGTAACTATTACCCCAATTCAGCTATTATTTGAACTTAGATGTAATATGCTGACCAATCATGCTATGAATAATTCTTACAGAATACTTTCTATATCTTATAAGAAATATAGAAATCATTATCAGATTTTTAAAGGGTTTTAAAAGACTTACAATCCAGTTACTTAAAACAGAAAGTGGACAGATGATCAATGTTGTTCTTGGTTTCTCTTCAAGATCAGTTTTCTTTGAATCCTCCACTGCAGATGCTCCTGAAAAGGATCAACCAATCATTAACTTAGCCATAAGTTTGTTTTTTTGTGAAATATACATGAGGTTAATAAGATGACACTAATGTGCCTTGATGAAATGAGAAATTAGAAAAAATTAAAATTAAGTGGATGGACTTCTGTTTCCAGCTACAATGAAGTAATAGGGATTGGACTGACCTTGCCACTTTAAATAACTGAGAATCTAAATAGTGATTATTTATGGGGAAAAGTAGACACTGTGACTAAGATGAAGGATAAGGAGAAATTATGGAGTGTTTCTCAAGATTCTATCTCCTAACACGGAGATTAAGGTGAACATTTGTTTTATGCAGTTTTCTGAAGTGTGTGAACAGTTTCCACGATGGACTACAAGGATCTGCACCTTCCTGGTACTCACAATCCTGGGTAGCCCCCTACCATGGTTGGTCTAGGTAATCAGTAGGATATCACTGAAATGATAGTATTGTTACTTCTGAGATTAAGTCATAAAAGACTGCAATTTCCATCTTGAACTCTCTTTCTCTGAACACTGCTCTGGTGGAAGCCAGCTGTTCTGTTGGAGGACACTGAGGCAGCTTACGGAATGATACATACAATGAGTACCTCTGGGCTTGGGCCTATAGGCAGCAAGGAACTGAGGTCTGCTAACAGCCACATGACTGAACTTAGAATTAGATCCTCCCCAGAGTCAAAACTTCCTATGACTGAAGTCCTGACTA